TGCACTACCAGTTGGCGCGAAATTAACAACGGAAGAGCCTGTTTCGCCTTTGCCGGTGAATCCTATTCCAGCTTTAGTCACAGTGATCAGTACTGAGTCGGAAAACATCGCCAAATCCCGACATGTTTTCTAAGTAAAAACTCATGCGGAAGTTCTGTGTTACAAAAGTCAAATTCTTCATTTAAAATATTCAAAAGACAAGCAGGTCGGCCTTCAATAACACACTGTAATTTGCAAAGTCCACTAGGAAGCACGCTACCTGGAAGTCTCCAGAACTCATTGTGACAACTGCTGAGTGTTCCTGATCTGGAATGCCTAAATGTTCATTATCAATATCCATCATTCTCACTGTTACTTCCTGTGTTCTGCCCTAAAAGACAAAGCCAATAAGTTGCTTCAACAAGATGTTCAAAAACAGTTTGTATCAGTAATATTTATAATATGAAAGATGAAGAGCAAAGAAACACGATAAAAAGCTTACACGTTTAGTGTCTTCAAAAGCAAAAACCACATCGTCGTCTTCTTCATAACGTATCATACAGGTGTCGTCATTGTTAGCACATTTTAAAGCTTTAGCCATACTGGCAAAGCTCATTCCTATGTTGATCGTACGGTCACATCGATAAATTTCAAACAAGCTTGATGCCAAATTCAAAGATACAAGAGCTACATGCGATGAATCCATTGCCTAAAAAAACCTAAAACATCGAACACACAATGAATTCTTGCTGCTAAACGAAAAAGAAAAAATTAGTTGCCGAAATAAGAAACCTGAAGTGAAAATGCATTTTCAGTACAGTCGAATGGAGCATCAGTGATAAGGTCCTTTACCGCTTCGACAATTTTTTTCAGTAACGCAGCACTAGCTAGTTTTGCCTCGAACATGATTTATAGATGTTCCTGGAATATTCAGTAGTGTCAAAAAAAAAAAAAAAAATCCAATCTCATTTCCATACAACAACTAATTGAGCAGTCCTGGCCAAAATAATCTTGAGATATTCAACAAGTGCAGAGAAGTGATGATGAATGGACAACCATCAACTGGCTGCGACGTGTAATATGGTGCAGCAAATTCGAATTCTTAAACAAATCCAAAATTTTTGCAACATGCTTTGACACGTTTGCACCGCAACTGTAAACGGCCTTTGAAAATAATAATTCGAAATTGTCAAGACAAAGGTCCACAAAAATGGATTTACAGCAGTTTTAAATTTTGGGGAAAACCAAGAAGATTTTAAAGGAAATATGGTTATTACGAACTTGAAAGCAACATTTTCAACATTTTGAACTCGTTTTATACGTTATATTACCGCGTGATCAGTAGTGTAGTCAACTGAAAAGAAAGCGGCATTTTAATGGCCTCAGTAACCCACAGATGTGCGCCAATTTCTGTTACATAAAAGTTATGTTTTCTTCCCTTTTAAATTTCTGTCTTTCTTCCCGCCAGTTACATTAGAATAAACTTGTCTAATCGGGTACACTCAGCGAAAGTCAGAAAGGCTAAAGCTAGTTGTTTATGCAATTGGCCTTAAGAATGATGAGGAAAACAAGACAGAATAAATACGGAAATGTAGTTCACTCGGTTTTGAATTCTAACGGTCACCAGGAATACTCGCGCTCTTTCTGTTTCGATGTGAGTCATGTAATGTGGTCAGAGTCCATTGGCTGAGAAGATCATAGTCGGCGGAGTTTTGAATAAAGTTGAATTTATCTGCCCAGTACGATAGCAATTACCATACGGCGCTTTCTTCTAAGTGACAGAGGTTGGTGCAAATTATTTGTGGCCTCTTTCAAAGAAAGTTCAGTCTTAAAGAAATTTGTTTTTAATTGTGAGTAATTTATGAGTAGAAGTGGATATCTATTCATTTTCTAATTTTTGTGCTCATTTTGTAACAGAAAGATTCTTTTTGCGGCTAGACATGGCAGTGGTGGTTCTTAATGCCGTGGTCGTCGGTGGCTTGATGGCAGAGTCTGAAACTTTGAACGGGACCTTAGGGTTTTGTATGTTGGCTAAAGTTCCGTCTTTTACGGCTAGGGCGGCTTAAAGTGTGCTGCTTTTCTCTTCTAATAACATTGTTATGGAAGGTGCTGTTGTTTCAGCTTCATTTGTGTTTTTCATCTGTGCGTTATGGGCAATGCGACTTCAGCAAATGTAACGAAAAAGATGAAGGAAATCACTTAATAGATAGTATAAGAGAAGCGATGGGTCTGAACCTCACTGCTTTTTCGTAATACCGGATTAAGCAAAAAA